TTTTTAAAGTCGTAAATTAAAACGATTTGACTTTGTTTTATTATTTCTTTGGCTTCTTCACCTTTTGGTGCTTTTGGAGAAATAATAAAGGCAAGTCACATCGATTTTAGGGGTAACAAGCTCCTCGATGATAGGCATGACTTCTTGTTAAAAACATTTGCTTCCCTAAGAAAAAAGGATCAGCTCTTCTCTAAAAATTCTAGTCTCTATGATGTTGGATTGCATATGTATCCGATCAATATCTATATATACACCTTCAAAAGACTTAAATTCTAAAATACAAGTTTTTGATGAAGCGATAAAGACACACATAAATTAGGATGAATCCAATCTCTTCTTAATAATATATGAAAAGAAGGTTTGGTATAAATTATGAAGAAAACAACAATTTTTGTTTTTTTTCCCAACCCATAACTCAACAAGTAGCATGCCTTTTTTTTATAGCAAAATTTCCAACAAAGCCACATACTAAAATACCATTATTAGTTAAATTTTCACTAGATTTTCCAATAATTTTAAGCATATTAAGTGGCATAAAATTGATTATTATAGCATTATCGGTTAATACTTTGCTTATTGGAAACTCATCCCAATTTACCTACTCCCTCTCGGTCTAAATTGATTATAATAATTGCTGGTGAATTTTCCATCGTTGTCTTCCCAACTAGCCATCATTCTAATTACGGTTGTGTTACCTCCATATCTCTCAACAAGCTGATCCTTTAAAGCAACAATAGCCTTCCACATTGGTGAAGCATCTTGGTGGGTTTGTATGTCCCACACCGAGTGGTCTTGCAAGTAGTAGCAATGGACCCATCGAATCCAAATAGAGTCGGCCTTTAGATGGATATCCCAAAGCTATTTAGCAAGGAAGGATGAATTTCTAGTTTTTATGTCTAATAGATCGAGGCCCCCTTCATCCTTAGGGTAGCAAAGATGCTTCTAAGTAACCAAAGCAGAACTACATTTTTTGGCATCACCGGACCAAAGGAAGTTCCTACATAGATTGACAAGTCGGGAGATTACCGAAGCGGGGATGGGAAAGATAAAGATAAAAACCTAAATCATGCAAGTCAAAACCAATCTCGAAGCTCCAACCTCCTAGTAAAAAAGAGATGTTTGCCTATCCAACTTTGGACTCGTAAATTCTAGTCTTTGTAGAAGGGGGAGAACTAACCGGCAAGGAGTCCGTGGGGACTCGGGGGAACCCTTAAATATCCGAATGGGAGAGAACCTTATTTGAACCTCGAATCTTGGAGGATAACATTTTTCTAGCTACTATTGACCCCCTCGAAATAAATGGATGACTTAGCGACATTAATGGCTAAACTCGACGTCCTTCCAAATATGCTCAATTGATGGGACAAGCATGTGATAGAATCTCTATATCCACGATAAAGTAGGAGGACATCTTTAACAAAAGCAATGTGACTGACACTTTGAGCTCCACATTTCGGATGAAATCGAAATCCTTCCTATTAGTCGCTCGTATAAGCATATGGGAAAATACTCCATACAGATTATGAAAAGGTAGGGGGATAGAGGGTCTCCCCGTCTAATGCCTCTCTTACCCGGAAAGAACCCAAAGTGGTTACCATTTACAACGAATCGAATAAGAAGCCGACTCAACACAAGTCATAACCGAGTGAACAAAAGACTTTAGAAAACCCAGTTGGAGAAGGATCTCTCTCAAGAAAAGCCACTGGACGGAATCAAAGGCTTTCGTAAAATCAACCTTCACAAGGCACCTAGGAGAAGCACGTTTCCTGCCATAATGCTTAAGGATTTCTTGAACCGGATGAATATTATCCATCATCTTCTACCTCCTAGGAAAGCATTCGCATGGGGCTAATGATGCCAAGTAAAACCCGGGCAATCCTGGAGGAGAGAAGCTTAGAAATAACCTTATAGACAACATTACAATAAGAGATAGGCCTAAAATCAATCGACATAGTAGCTTTGGATGACTTAGGAACCAAGGTTATTATAGAATGATTGATTTGCTTCAAAAGTTTCCTAAAGAGGAAGAAATTCCTCACGACAAGCATAGAAATCATATCCAACAATGTCCCAAGCTTTTTTAAAGAATTATGAGGAGTATCCATCGGGATCCGGTGCCTTATTATTGTCAATATCAAATAAAGCCTTCTTGATATATTCATTGCAAACGAGGGAGAGCAACATTTCCTTTGCACTTTGATCAAGACAAGGCCTTGAAGCTATAACCTCCGGTCAAGTGGAAGAGTGTGCTTAGCCGAGCCAAGGAGCTTCATATGGAAATGAATAAATTCCTCCCCGCGGCATTAACCGAAGTAGTGGTCCGGCCATTGCTGCACTATATAGCCGCTATATAATTCCTCTTGTGATTCAAACCAATAAGAGCATGAAAAAACCCGAACCTTTGTCACAATCCTTTAGGAACTTAAATTTGAGCTTCGACCAAAAAACATCTTTTTCGCCGATTTGAGATTTACCACTCGAAGCTTCAAATGCATCTCATATTCAAGGAGCTGAGAGTTATCCCTATCATTCCGAAGAGCTTATTGGGTAAGTCGCAGATCCGATTCCGCTCTAGCCACCCTCTTTGAAATGTGATCGAAGTGTAACTTATTCAATACTTTCGGAGGCCTTTTCAAGAGCTTTAACTTCCTATATAGAATAAATATAGGAGAGCCCCGGATATTTACTTATCAATGATGGCCAACAATATGAAGGAAACTATCATGAGAGGCCATATGTTAAAAAATTTAAAGCATTTTGGTCTCAAAGTAAGCTCGGTTGTTCACCCGGATTGAAGCCGTTGTATGATCGGAGAAAGCTCTCGACGAGCTGAAATGGACAAAAGATGGCAGTGAAGCATGGACCAAAGGGAGTTGACTAAAACTCTATCTATTTTTATCTAGACCGTACCTCTATTCCATGTATAGTGGGCTGCTAGAATAGTTGAGGTCATTCAAGCCAAGATCCAAGACAGACGATCTAAAATTCGAGGTCTCATAATTGGAAGTCGCCCCTTATTACACTTATCATTTTGTGAGAGAAAAGAGTTAAAATCCCTCAAAATAATCCATGGGCAATTAAGATTCCACTCGCAAAGATTATCCCAAAGCTCTCTCCTGTCAATACTAGTATGGAACTTATACACAAAAGTGGCATTAATGCTAAACTATTGAACAAGACTTCGATTCTAACATTCAGCCCTTGCGAGAGATACATCAAGTAGATCAATCAAAACTGTTTTAGGATTCCAAAAAGAGCAATGCGAGCATATGAAGCTAGTACAACATTCGAGATAAAACTCCATCGCCTTAGCCGAAGCTTGTGCATTTGAGAAAGCTTTAAAGGGCTAAGCTTTGTTTCGACAAAAGCACACACATCCATCTTCTTCTTCTTTTTCATAAGGCTAGCTGCCTCATGTTGCTTCGGAGGGTTATTAAGACCCCGTCATTCCAATAATAAATTAACATCCAAGGACGGGGGTGGTAGCCACCCGTCTACCACCACTCCTCGTTTTCACTCCCCCACTCCGAGTGGTCATCCTTCGGGAGCCCCCATGAACCCGTAACTCCCTACCGGTTTGACCATCATTAGTTTGAGCATCAAGTGGTAGTACCCTTGTATTACTATCATCGACTCGTGCTCTCCTAGTTTTCAGCCTCAACCGTAGCCCGAGCATCATGGTTGGATAGCCCGAGCATCATGGTTGGATAGCTCGTGGTCCACTCTTTCCATATAATTTACGCCACTTAGGCTAGCGACCTCGATAGATGGGTCGCCTAGCCTACCTTAGCCATTAATATTTCCACAAGTAACCTCAACCTCTCGTTTTCTTACCTTTCCCCTTGTACCGACTCGGTTCCTTAATTGGAGCGAGATACTAAAGGAGCTTCGTCGCCTTGTATGAATCGATTCGGCCCTTAGCCTTGCTCCCGACCGTTTTCCATCCGTGTGAAGCTATCGCAATCCGAGAGTGCATGGGATCATAGCACTCGACTAGTTAGTAGTTGTAGAAGCATTGCAGTTGGACTTAACCTTTTAAACACGCGAACCCTTAGCAGGTTATCCCCAACCGTAACAACTTCATCTCTCTTTCTTTTGCGAGTAGGCTCCGAGGGGACTTTTTTACATCCCGAAGTAGAATGACCCAAGACTTGGCCTTTTTTACAATGAATTGGTAATGTCTCGTAAACCATAGATTGAAAAAGCTTAGACCCATTCGACAAAACAATGTTGACCATCCTTGGCAAGTCTTCCATAATTTTCATCTTAATTAGGACCCTAGCATACGATATTCTAGCCATTGAGGCCGTCAACCTATCACATTGGATTGGTTTACCAAACAAGCTCGTAATTTTAGATAAGCATTCGGTAGACCAACATTTGAGGGGAGATTAGGAAACTTCACCCACACTCGGGACCATCGATATATCCCTATATGAGAAATCAAAGAATTCCCGCATAGACCTCAAAGTCGAAGGCCTACCATAAATCGGATATGGACCTCCATTCAAAACAACAAACTTTTCCTCCTCCGAATCAAATTTGTAGACTAGCCAACTCGAGTTATGTATCGACAATATGGCTTTACATTTCCAAGTGTTGTCGATAATAGTGCTAAGGGCCTTAAATCCCATAGATTTTCCTACAACATATCCAACCAAACACAGTTTCTACAAATCACATTTAGAGTCTTCCTCAAGCAAAGCACATTTTTTAGTTTCCATAATGATAGAAAAATGAGTAAGTTTTGGGGAAAATTCGGACTTCGGTTGTTAACAAATAAGTCCCTCCATTTACCGACTCGTGGAGCAATTTGATCGGCCATTCTAGGATTTCCCTCGTTGTCTAGAGGGATGGGGGATTGAGAATTTGCTTGAGGAGAAGGTCTAGCTGTTGCCACATTCAAAGTGGATTTAGATGAAAGACTTTTTTCCCTAGAAGTATATGGGACATGGCCACCTGGATTAATGTTGTTCGTCGAGAGCCAGCGACTAATTCCATCAAGCAAGAGGTGCCCAAGGACCCGCCAACTTGGGAATTCCCTTATGCACTTGAACTATTACCCAATCGTAACTCTCCACTATGGTGAAAAGTGTTATCCAATCTGGATCTAACTTGTCGAGGGTCAACAACTTCACCCAAACCCGAATTGAGCACATTTTCCAAAGAGGGAATAGAATGAGCACAAGGATTGGACTAGTTGTGATCTGGAATTTACCTTGCAAATAGGATTTTGAACATAAACATCGGCATCCCCCGCCAACAAATGAGGAGGTGTCTTGAAGAACTTTGATCGAGAGATCCGCTCCCCATCTAAATTCGAGTAGTCCACTTCTTCTTTAAGGTAATCATCTTTATCCGAACAATCCTCAACCTCTATATGATCTTAGGTCGGATCCGAAGCAAGGGATATATGGTCGGAGGACCGCTTGGATGTTCCAATTTCACTAGCTAGGGCTTTGGCCGAGCGAAGTAAGGGGTACCCAAACCAGCCAAAGGAGAGATAGGTGTCGATGGAGCTTTTAAAGCTATGACGGGATCATCAAAATCTCTCCTCAATGTTGCCTTTGAAGTATTTGTACTAGATTTATTTTTCTTTTTAGCCATAAGAGAAAGAGAGGTTATTAAGAGCAACTAAATGATCGACGACCGAGAGCTTTTTCTTGACTAAGAGCTCTTTCTTTGTTTTGATCAAGATGTAAGTATAAAAGAGATCAATAGAAGTGGAAATAGCAGAAGACCTAGCAATAGCACCGACCGGACATGAGGGAAAGTTCTCCATTGGAGGAGAGCGTCTCTCTCTACTTTCTCACTCTAGGTCGAGCAACCGAGAGCTCCCACTAGCTTTTTATATACACAAGGTTCATCTTTGTTTTGATCAATAATCAAACTCTTTGATCATTCCATAAAATATGGATTTATATTCCTAGAGGCATGCTTAAGTCTATTAATGGACCTTAGCCTTTTTGCAAATCTTATTTGTATGTTCTTGAGAACTTTTAGGATGTGTCTACTACACATCCATTTTATTTTCCTTTTATAGGAATCAATGTATAACATTGCAATTTTAAAAGTATTAGCTTCGTTATCCTTTTTAAGGCTCACATCATAATGTGTTAAGATGAAAGGATCATATCTCTTTTGTCTTTTTGATGAATTTGCTTTGAATTTTGAATTCTTGTGTTTTTTTTTTTTGAGAGAGTTACAAATCTTTGTAATCATTCTATTTTAGGATTCTTTTATTAAAGTGTTAATTTATGAGTCTATTCAAATCTTATTGAGTTTTAATTTTCTCTCACTATTTTTAGCATCCATAAATTCCTTCATAAGGAACATAATATGCTTAGTAAGGAACACAACTTTGTTCTAGTGGTAATATATTTACATCCTAATCTTACTTTAGGGTATCTCACAATTTAACACTTTATTGATTTTAGGCTTCATTTTGTCTTTATCAAACCCTTTGACATACATTTTATAGCCTTAAATCTTTAATGAAAAATTATTTTATTTTTCTTCCCTTCTCATATCTCATAGGTGATTTATCTTCAATAGATTAGAATCTTATTCATTTCAAAGGTTGCGGTAAGGAGTACTCATTCATAATTAGGGATATTAATTCGAATCATCATGGATCGATCATATCTAACATGTGATATCCATAGAGAATCTCATTCTTTTTTAAGTGATCTAACATTTTTAGCATTTAAGTATTCAGCTCCTTGATCTAATCGAGATGCTTTAAAACTCTAGCCAATTCATCTCATGACTTTTCAAGTCTAAAATTTTAAACATTTTAAATGTTTTGGACTTGTGTCTTATAACGATAACATGATCCATTATCATTAATGGTTATGTGACAAGCATGTTCTCCTCTTGCTTGGGTGAACATAAGCCTATATACATCTCTATGTATAAGGACTATATTTATTAGTAACTCTTTCTCCTTCTAAACTAAAAGGGGATACATGTCCTTTTGTCAAGTAAACAAGATTCCTTTAGACATCATCGAATGATGCTAAATATCCTTTTGGATATGGGATTCTTGTTTATAAGACTAAGTTTGATGTTGCTTACTAATTAATGTTTATTTAGATCATTTGAGTCTACTATTATTTATTTTATACATTTGGGAGTTATGTTTAACACATGTAATCATTATAAAAATATTTCCATAAAACTCATTCCTAAAAATAACTATTATTCTTAAAAATGAAACATTTATTCAAAACAAGAAATAGAAATAAGATCTTTAGTCTCTATTAAAATAATAATGATTGACTTATAACACATCCTAACACGGTAGTGTTAGCTCATAAATATCTAAATCTAATGGTCCAACTCTTTGATCCATTATGGTTATGTAGATATTCTCCCTTGAAGCTATATTCCTTCCTTTTCTAAGATCACGTACATTTTAAAAATGTAAACGCCACATTTAGTATCATATACTCACGAGGTTGAATTTAGAAATACGAGAATTAGTATTAATAACATAAATACCTAAGGTGGTGGTAGAACTATTCTTTTGCACTCCTTCTAGGTGCTCCTTGCGAGTTGCGCTTCTAATGCCCTTTCTTGTTGCAATAAAAGCACATTGCATCCTTTGGGCTATTCCGAGCCTCGACCTTTTCACTCCTCCAGCGAGTGTAGTTGAAGACTTCTTCTTCTTTTTAGGCTTTTTCTTGCCCTTTACTAAACCTTTTCCCTTATTAACTAGAAGTACAGAGCTTTTGTTCTTCTTGTTAATTTCGAGTTGACCTTCCCTTAGTATGGATAATAACTCTCCAAGAGTCTTTTGCATGTGCATCAAGTTGAAGTTCATGATGAATTATCCAAAGCTATTGGGCAATGATTACAATACTAGGTTAGCATCCATCCCAACTTCAAGTTCAGCCAATTGATCGACATAGTTTATCATTTCTATGACATACTTTTCGACATTGGATCCCTCATACATTTTGGCCCTAAAGAGCTTCCTTGCTATCTCATGGCAATTATGCATAGTATTCTCCTCAAATAAGCTATTGAGCCTTGCTATGATATCAAAAGCTTATGAGCTTCGTGTTGGTGTCTATGCTCCAACGTCATAGTAGCAAGCATGATGCTTTGAGCAATGATCACATCATATCTATGTTTGATTCATGCTTCATGAGCTTCAACTTGAACCAAAGGAGGCTCATTTGGAAGAGCTTTCTCTATCGTATAGAGAATTTTCTCATGTTGGAGGACTATCCTCAAATTCATTTCTCGATCGAAAAAATTTATGCCATTAAAGACAATACTTCCATCAATGATCGATTATATCGATGTGTTACTAGTCATACTCGTGCAATTTGATAGGATAGAAAAGCATACGATTTGGTTAATTAAACTGCATAAAACAAAGCATCAATTAAAGAAGTAAAATCTATGTTCACTTGCACTTTTTCTATAAGTTCTATAACCTTTAATATAGTACTCGAGAAAATTTTTTGATTTGTTTTCCTAATGGGTTAGGATTCCATCCTCTAACATGCATCAACCTTGAGTTATCTCAATAAGCCATACATGAAGGATTAGGTAGGTAACTCCTTACCAATTACATTTAATGTAACTCTTAATTCCATTGGTATGATAACTCCTTATCCTTGTCACATCTTATGTGAATACCAATCATTGCTTACAAGTTTATTGGACCTTGAGTTATCTTAATAAACCCAACAACTCATTTAAATTAGACCCAATATTCGGGGACATCCTATCGCCTATGATTTGTTTCCCTCAAGGAAGAAGTGACCTTTAGTTATCTCGACAAACCAACAACGAACAAGAGAGTTCCCACCTCATAACATTGGAAAACACTTAACTTAATATTTTATTTGAAGGATTTAATAAGGTTGGTCTCATTATGTATGCATACTAAACAATAATCATATTATTTCTAATCATGCATACTAAAATTGATCTTATCACATTCATACATCTCATGCATACTCAAGGACAAATAAATGATAATGGATTTCTAATACTAGCCCCCTTGAGTTACAAGGAGATTAGTGAGTCAATTCCTAGGTAAAAAGTTATTACAAATTCTTCATGAATGTCTTCATTCTTTGATGTCTTCTCCTTGTATCTATTCTAATTTCTATCTACTATTTTTACATTTATTTGAAATAAGAAACATCAAATAACATTCGAGGGGAGTAAGATGAGAAGAGAAATATAATAAAGCAATAGAGAAGGCAAGATACGCAGGTCCTATTTATCCAAAAAATATCAAGCATTCGTAAAACTAGGTTGACTCATCTATACCATTCACCCATGCTTCAATCACATTGACACATGGCATACTCATGAACCAATTTCATTCATAAAATTATTATAAATCTATGGTTTTGGTCATTTTATAAATTTATCAAAATTTTAATTTAAAATGTTTTTGGGCTTTGGGCTTATAGGCTTTTGGGTTTCGAGGGTTCATGGGTTTCGAAGCCCAAACCCTCGGGTTTGTATGCGTCCGCCTGCGACCACCGACCTAGTGCGAAAGTGTTTGGCCGGTGGCCTGCTATGTTGATCGCATGCCTAGCGCGCATCCTAACAAGCCGGCGGGCTACTTAGCATGCACCTTGTGTGCTCGTCTAGTAGGCCGTAGCTCGCTCGGCGTGTGCCCAACGCGCATGAGCATTGATGTTCAATGTCGACCTCATGTGCTCCTATTGATTTTGATCGAAAATTTTAGTTTCATATTTATATAAAATACAAAAAAAAACATAAGATTTATAATCGAGCATATCTTATTCATGTAGTTAGTCACAATTAACTAATCATACAATCAAAGATTCAATAGAGGCTCGATACCAATTAAAGGATCATGTATCCTATGGAGGTGTGGAATAAATAAAAAATTTTCTCTATCTAAGGGCCCAAGATCATGTATTTGAATCTACTAATCATACATACATGAATAATAAGCTAAAAGTAAAGGATTACCTCTTGTAGTGTAGATCTAAATTTCTTTTCTTTGATTCGTTATGTAAGTGTCCGGACTCTATTGATGATCCGTAGAGCCCAAGTATTCACAAAGAGGCACTCAAAATTAATAGGGTGCTAGCTCCACCTTTTCTTATTAAGTATTTTCTTTAGAAATAAATTCGAGTAACTTTGTGGCAACCTTAAAGGAGGAGGAAAAGTATTTTTTCCTATGGTTTAAGAGAAAACTATTTTCTCCTTTATTTTCTCTCTTAGTCGTGTGCCCTAAATAATTTTTTAGGGCTGACCAAACTCTCTCTTTTTCTTTTCTTTTTGTTGATCGAATATTACTCTCATAATTTTACTTAACCAAAATACTCTTTTTAGGTCATCATCTTCCTTTATACCGCACCTCTCCTCCTATTTATAGGGGAAGAGTTTCCTTATCCTCTAAAGACAAGGAGAAGGGTGGCTTTGAGTCCATAAAGGACTCTAGGTTGTTTCTTCCTTATTCTCCAAGGATGATAAGTTATCTTGTATGTGGACTACTTGATTATTATCTTTTAAAACATTTAACCTTATCTAACAAGGTTATTATTTGTCTTTAAAACATTCATCCTTATCCAATAAGGTTGATGTTTATCCTCCCACCAAAA